CGCCTTGCCTGGGAAAACCTCCACCGGGCCCGCAATGCTTTCAACATCCTTTTTCAGCAATCGGATTCCTTGACCAACGCTGTATGCTCCTTCTCGGCCGCTCCTCTCCAGCTCTCCAGCTCGGCCCTTAAACCTCGCTCATACCGACTGTCTTAGTGACCAGCCATTCTTCTTCTGCTTTTGCTGCACCTTCTACCTGCATCCGATTCAGCGCTGTCTCGATGTGATTTCTCCGCTGAAGTCCTTCTCGTAGTACTCCTAGCCACATCTCCTGGTCTTCTGCTCCAGCGTCCAAGATCTCTAGCTCATCCTTCACCCATTGCGTAGCTGTTGATGCCATTTTTCAAAGTTGACCTGCTCTTCCACCTCCCCCTCGACGACCATCGTCGAAAGAGCTGTCTTTTCCCTCAGGCGCCTTCTTGGTCGATCTGCTCGCGGCATCAAGAGATCTGGTCCTTCTCGTTCTTCCAGTATCACTTTTTCCCCCAGGTCAATGATCACCTCTTCAGGCTCCCTGATAACGTCCGTAGTCGCAAAGTGCCGTCCGTCTCCACAACTTCGAGCCTCCCGATGTCGCCGACAGAACCGCATCTGGACCCACGATCTTGACCCGCTCACGATCAAATCGCCAATCCTGATAATTACCGCTCATTCCAGCCCTTCTTCTTGGCATAGGCGATCGTTCCCCACAGGAGCATCTCCTTCACCGGTAGTCCCACCGCTTGAAGTTGCCTCCGAAGACGTCGTTCGCCAGCATGTCTCAACTCCATAGGGTCTACACCTATCCGACGGATCGGGAAGAGAAGTCTCTTTTGGCAGATCATCATGAAGGGCCTGAACATGATGACCTGGAGGACCTGCTGAAGAACAGGAGGAAGGAGAAAGACTGCCAGAAAAGGAGGCAGAAAAAGAGATAAAGGCTGGTGGTCGCACTTGAAGTGTCTTTTCCACTGTTCCAGAGCGATCGCACTCAAAGATTGAAGTGCTCGCCCACCTTCTTCATGACCACGCAGTGCCTCCTTGATCACTTGCACCAGCCCCGGCGCTCATGCAGACCACCGTTTGGTCTGAGCGATCCTTTCTTCCAAGTTCTCCGACCACGCCTCACCGCCTTGGCCAGGTCCTGCAACCTCCCCCAATCCTTGCAATCCTTCCAAATTCGTGGCTATGGTAGTGGGTTTCCTTCGTTCATGCCCCAGCGGTCCTTGATCTAGATGCACAAGCTGACCAACTTTTCCTTCGGGATGTCCACCCTGTCACCGGGATCTCGAGGTTGCTCCTGAACATACCGAACTGTCGGCAAGCCCTTTTTTCTTGCCGTCTCCGCTACGATGAATACCGTCATCAACCACAGGATTGAGTCTCCCTCGACCATCTCCTCCGAATTCGTGAGGTTCGGGAAGCCATAGGGGTATTCCGGTATTCCTCACTTCGCACCGGCCTCGGTCCTGGTGATCTCGATCTGCAAGCCGACACCGTGCGACAAGGCGGGACCTCTATCAAGCTCACCATCTGCCCACTCTTCGCCAAGGAGAGGAGGTAGCCATAGACATCATCGTTGTGCAAATCCTGTGCAGGATTATTCACCTTGTCCAGGCAGATGATCACCGTGCCATCCTTCTCCATGTCTAGCCACTTCTTCTCCTCACCCGAGAAAAGATGCACATGAACTCTCTCTGCCCTCTCAATTGTTCTTCTCCTCCTCCTGTTCCACGGCAACTTCACAGGGTCGTAGACTTGCGCAACCACCAGCCTGGCCAGTATCTGATCCGGAACGTCCACAAAGAACTCCTTCACCGCCCTGAGCATGGCCTCCTCATAGGTCGGGTTCTCGACGGAGCTGGTCTGGCCCTTCAACAGTGCCAGCTTCCAGTTAAAGTCCGCCTTGTTGTGCTCCATTTGCTCAATCAACCGCAAAGCCACACTTTCCTCGACCATTGGGCACCCAGACACCATGGTGACCTCCACCGGATTGCCCTGGTACGACACCGAGCACTTCCCGTTCGTCCACATCACCACATAGCCCGCTTCCGTCATGCCCCCCGTGGGCAAGATTAGCTGCGTGCCCCTTCTCTGCCAACAGGGTCAAAGTCCCGGGCTTGCTCCTCATTTTTGTACTGGAACCATCTGTCAGGTGCACCTCCACAATTTCAGCCTCGTTCCACTCTTCCCAATTTTTCCAAGGTCTCAAGGCATGCGTTGCTCCTCCATCAAGTAGTCCTAGCCCACGGCCCTCGCTCCCTACTTGGTTCATAGCGATCACCGCGTTCATGGACGGCATTCTCAATGAGCGAAGAACACTGGTTGCTTCAGCCAACAACTCCCTGCGCCCCCTACCATAGATCAACCACCTGTAGTAGCCGCCGTCGACGATGTTGTCTCTTTTTCGCCGACACGGCCGACTTCACCAGCCAATGTGTCTTTTTCTCCTTCAACTCCTCCCCCCGAGCTGCTTCCCAGCTCGTACTTGGCCGCCTTCACCGCCGGCTTCGGGGTCGGCTTTCCATTGACATGTGGATTCTCCGCCTGAACTGGGCAATCCGCCTTTCTGTGGATCTTCGCCCCACAATTCCAGCACTGCGCTGCCTTGTCTGAGACCCCTTCCCAATCGTGAGGCCGCTTGCAGTTTCTGGCTGCCCGGCATCCATTCTCCGAGACGAAGTACCGGCAATTGATTACCTCCTTTTTTGTGAATCCCAGGCCTTCGGAGCTTCCACCCGGACTTCCGCGTTCAAATCCGCCGCTGATTGCCTTGATCTTGGGCTGCACCACCCCCTCATTCGACATCAGCTTCGCTGTGTCCATTTCCGCCAGCAACAGCTCGGAATAGCTCCAGATACCCAGGGCCGTGGGTGCCGTGTCCAATCCCAGCTGCGACCTCGCCTGAGCCACCCTGAACGCTTGGGTCCCTCCTTTGTTCACCAGTTGAACCACTCGCTCAAGTGCCACTGCCAGCAAGGTCGGGTCCGGGAGCGTGGCCCCGATTTCCTGCGCCCGCAAATAGTACCTCCGCCATTCCCTCAAAGCCGTTGCTGCTTCTGCGTAGTTCTTCATGTTCCCCAAGTCGGTGAGCTTCTTCAAGATGAGCGCTCTTTCCCCCAGGCCTCCAGGTTGGTAAGTAACCAGTAGTCTGTATAACACCCCAGTCGACGTAATCTCGCGCGCCGAAATGAGCTCTTTCCTAATCTCTGCCGGCAGCCTTCAAGAGAAGCGTCACACCTCTCTGCTCCGTCCGGATGAACCTAGGAGCCTTCAGCCGTTCTGGAACGTCCACTGTGATGCACCTTGCGAAAGATCACTCATTTGCGGCCCTACCTGTGCAAACCAATCCCACAGCATCAGCGGTGAATGGTCGTATACCAGCTCCGGCAGCTCGACCTTTCCCCCCGCGCCTCCTGATTCCACCTGATCAACCGCAGGCTTCCGATCTTCCTTTTCCCAACCACCCTTCCAGTCCCGCCACGGCTGCCATGTAGAGGTTGGATTCCGCCTCGCCCTCCACCAATGATCATAATCCTCATCTTCCCAACGAGGTTGCCTTCCTTCCGGTAGCCTCGTTCCACCAGGCGTCCTCCGCTCATTGCAACGGTTCGGCGATCTCGATCTAGGCACAGACATTGCTCTGCCTTCAGGTGGGTCTCTCCTCGGAGGGGGTTGGTGGGGGCGGTGCCGGTGGAACCATTGGTGTAGCAAATGTCTCCTCAACCGGCGTTGCAAACACCACCGCTTCCTGTCATATCTTCTTTTCTTTCCTCAAATCCTCGATGATGCCGAACAGGTACTTCCGCTGCTGCTCCAATCCTCGTATTTTCCGACAAGCCTTCATGAAGTTATTTTCCATCTCGTGGGCCAAGTCCATTTCACCAATCAGCTCATCATCATCTTATCTTTGAGGAAGCCCGGTATCCACACCTTGTGCTCATCTATCCATACCCAGTCCAGGTTCAAGGGTGCCTGCCTTCCCGACCCAGCTGTCGGCTCCTTCCTTTCTACCACGCCTTGATTCCTTGTCCTTCTGCACGCCTCTTCCCATAGGCGTTGATCCCTACGGTCCTCCTCATCTTCATATTCTTCCGGTTGAAGATCTACTTCCCCTGAGCAACCTCTGTCCCCCAACCGAGAACCATCATGATCTGGTTGCCGAACACCACCCACACGTTCTTCATCAAGCCATAGGGCATCTTCTGGCGGTGGTCCTTGCCCTTTTCCAACTCGACCACCTCGTCGTTCCGGCCGTAGATCTCATCCAGGAAACATCTTCTTCAACTCCTCATCTCTTTCCTTGTCTTTTCTTTCCTTTCTTTCTCGTGGATCTCCTTCACGTGGATCTCCACCGGACTCGCGGGCTCCCTCCAACTCCGTCGTCAGATCCCGCTTGATCTCACTCAAAAGCATCTCTGTCCTTGTCCTGCTTCCCGCAGCTTCTGGGTGGCCACCAATCTCCTCACGACAATGGCCTAGAAGATCTCCCGCAGGAGGATCAACGGCACCCACACGAACGTCTTCCATGTTCTCGACCTTCCACGGGCTCACGGTGTCCGGGATCTTGGGCAGGCACGCAGCGGCGGGTCCTCCACTGAGACCCCGAGATCGCCCTCCTGCTCAGCCACCATGACCCCCGCGTCCATGCTCCTCGATCTTCGCCTCCTCATCCCTGCGTCCATCACTGTCCGCACCGAGGAGCTACTGTCGGGTTGGGCTCATAACCCTTACATAATAACACAGGTTGTTTTTCCCCACGCTTGAGTCGTGAAAAGGGGCTTCCGAAACGCATCGGGACAGTAATTCCATGTTCTCCTCTATAATGGCTGAAAGCTGAATCGCCCAGCAAGTCTACAGCTTGCAGATTACTAGTGTGTTGGCTGTTTGGAGTTTGAGGTGTGCCCTCTTTTGGTTTGACACGTCAAGAAGATCAGTGAGAGGAAGCAAACCTTTGGAGGCTACGGCTTTCGTTTAAAAAGACGGCTTAAGTCAGCTCTATTTTCGTACGTCCGGCTAAGGCATGTACGACACTGCAGACTATGTCCAGTTTCGGGAGGAGGCTGTGGCTGTGTGTTTGCATTGACCTTGCAAATACCAGAGCGCTTAGGTCCCAAGCTGCACATTCAGGGTGGCCCCGTTGTCCCAGTGACCCCTGGGTTGGGGCCTTCAATGTGTGAAGGGCTCCTCCTGGTACAGCTGCATGCAGGTTCAGAAACTTCTGCTTCTTCTGCGTACATTGTGTTATCGTGCGAGTCTATCTCAGAATGAGGGTCCCCTCCAACTGGCGGTTCCTCGCTAAAGTTTGCTCTAGGCATGATTTGGAAGTCTCCCTCTTATCAAGCACATCAAGCACATCAAGCACCAAATGTGTGCAGTGTTGGGATCCGATGGCATCCACCACAATGGAGGTTGCGGTGCTTGTGGCTGTCTCTGCCTTCATCGCAGTGGTGCTGGTGGTTTTGATGCCGCGGCCTCGGCTACGTGGAATGTAGCCTCTTTAAATCCTTCACTCTCCCATACCCAAGGAAACTGCGTTGTGTTAGGCCAATATTTTGCAACCAGGAGCTCATGAGGCGGTTCATCACACCTCCCATGTTCGGTTTGTCGGCGTGCATCGACGGCATCGAGATGCGAGCGCAAGGAATTTGCTGGTGGCACAGCTCACAGAGGCCTACCATTGCTTGTTCAAAGACATGCAAGGCGGGCGAACGAAAGTGCATCAAAATGGGACACGTATAAAATCGAGAACAGCTGAAAGAGCGAATGAACAAGGAAAAGAGAGAGAGAGAGAGAGAAGTGACACAAGCGAGAAAGGTGAAAGAGTAAGGAAGACAGCAGACTGAGAGAGAGCCAAAGCAAAACACAACATACGCAATAAGAATGGAAAAGTCAACAAGTACACCCAGAGAAAGATTGACCACTTGGCATTGGATTTTTCACATTTCCAATTACTGTTTGATGCCTTGGTGTTTCGACATTCGACCTGATAACGTTTCTGTCGCGTTTCGACTTCACAACATTTGACATCTCCGTCGTTGTTCCACTGTATGCTGTTTGGGCATTCCACTTTAAGTGTTGGCATTTGTTGATTTCCATCACTCGTGAACGTATTAATTTTAAGATATTTAAAATGTAGCTGCTCAAATACCCTTGCCCCAAGGACCACCTTTCTACCGTGGTCCATCCAAAAGAAAGCTGGTCCTTTGAATTGGTTCACGCTCAAAAAGTCGAAACCTTGCGGTGTGGAACGTCAAATAATTTTAGGAGTCTCGAGACCGATTCAGAGATGAGAAGTGCTGCAGTCGCAAGTTTTAGCTGGGATGTATCCTGTTTTGACTTGCTGGCAGTGCTACAGGGCCTTTAATGTGCCTGTTCCTGCTGATCCTTCCCTTCTTGGTTTTGTCCCATGATCCATTTGGCACGACCAAATCAAAGCCTACAGTCGATTTAACATGTTGGTATGTTCCATCAACGTGTAGCTCCCGGGATGTTGCTCAGAGTTTTGGATTCGATGTTTTTGGAGCTTTGAGCAGTTCTCACCTATCAGACGCTAGACACCTTTTACACGCGTTGCTTTCGACTTTTTACAGTTTTGGTTTTTGCGGCCTTCCCTAACACAAGGACACAACCTGTGCGCGCACAGGGCAGCGGCATGTCGGGCATGTGCATTCAGCCCTTCTCACAGAATAATGCTACAGTATAGTCGCTATGATGCAATACACAACAGGGTTAAGGTAAGTAGAATGTACATGGCAAGAGTTCACCTCCAGCACCCACTTCGGACTATGGCTTACAGAGACGAAACGCCGCATTTCTTCTTCTCATGTTGCAGAGCAGCCATTTGCCCGTGATTCTGTTGGATCAAATCATCAAATCGTAGTCTATAATGTGCCACGCTGTGCAGGCTATGCTCGACTCAATCGGGCAGCAGTCATTGTGGCTGTCATGGAGCAGGCCATTTGGTGATTGTTGTGCGCTTGTTGCTCGCCTCTGACCACAAGCATTGCAATTGTTGCGAAACTCATGCGTAAGACCGCATGATACGACGAGCAGGAACAAGCAGACATGAACCGAATGACTGATCTTGCCCACTACTATTTGAGTAGTTTAGTTTTGTCTCTTGCTCAAATACACAAGCAATGCTTGGTCTCCGGACACACGAGCAGTATGCACACAACGTGAACAAGCCTTTGCTTCCCAGAAGTTGCCTCGGCACAGGTGCTGCAAAAGAGGTGGACATTGTTTCTGGCATCCCTCAATTTCGAGGAGCTGGGGCTGGGCCTAGCACACCATGTTGAGTTGCTGGACTGGACATGCAGTTCCTTTGTACAAGCTGATGGTGCGGTGATTGATTGCCTTTTATTGGCCTTGTGCATTTTGCCGACCTCGCGACGCAGCATCAATGGATGTGGCTGGCCTTTTGCAGGCTTTAAAAAAAGATCCCTTGCCTCTCTCTCGCTCCTTGGGGCAATTGAATCTTACTGCTTGGTTCGGTGTCATATCTCGTGTTTCGCATGATGCTGGAATAGTGAGTCGGGATCATAAGGATGCAAACACGAACCCAGCCATTGGAGCGGAAAACCAATTCTGAAACACATCCCAGTGAAGGGTGTCTATTTTGTGCACCGGTTTGGAATCACTGCAGGAGCGGATGGAATTCAACGAGGGTGACATTGGCCTGGCAGGCGGCGTCCAGATCTTGGAGCCGGCGTGCCCTGCCGGGAGGATTTGCTTGGTTGTTGTGTTAGTTTTTGTTTGCCAACAACTGTTTGTTCCAGGCTTGGTTACCTGTAGCCGTGGACTCCCGATCTATTCCTTGCAGGACAAAGGCTAGAGACCCTGGGGCAGGGGAATTCATGTTGGCGCTGAGGAACGCCAGTGTGGTCACAGAGGATTGCATCAAGCGATACGGCGGTTCTACCGCGCCCTCTAAGCCCTGGCCAGAGGTGGGGAAAGCCGGGCGCTTTTTCGCTTTCGAGCGGCATATGGGGGGAGATTTGGCATATTTGCTACATTTGGCCCCGATGTGACGTGTCCCAATGTGTCCCATGCTTGTTTGCATCCCTCATCCCTGCTCACGAGGACGACACTTCTGCCGTGGAGGAGGACCGTTTCGAGCGCCTTGAGAAGCTGATCCTGAAGACCCACAAAAAAAGTGGCGGCAGGCAGGGTGCTGGACTCCCCTGGACAGACTCCAACGCTAGCACCTTGCAGGGTTAGGCTGTTTCCTACATACAAAGGCCAGTTGCTGAACCTAGCTGTGTCCTTCTAAACTACACGAGACCGCTTGGAGAAGGTTGCTGAGCGCACTCGTGGGACGCAAAAGACAAGCAACTTAGGATCGAGATTTGTTTTTCCGTTTTGCTGGGGGTCTCGAGCTTGGCACAGGGCAAGCAGGAGGCACGCCGGCAGCAGCAGCGCCTCGTTGAGCGTCGTGAGTGGTGGAAGTGACACTTCTGAGTGACCAGGCTTTGCGCCTGCTTGAATTGTACTGGCCTGATCTTAAATCAAGCTTCATATTGATGTTATCGATCGAGTCAATCCAGAGGACCAACAGGGAAGCTGTTGGATAGAGCCCGCTTTTTCGCTGTAGCGAGCTCATGCCAGTGCCATGACTGCCGGCCATGCAACCCGACAGGACAAGGTCTTTCTCGTTGCACACAAGACAGCATTTTGTTAGGTACACTTTGAAGCTGGCCGTGTTGGCATGGCAGGAAATGTGACTGTAGACTTTCTACCTAATCTACCTACCGCCGCCCCGTGAGAGCCTTTCCTGCAACTTGTTGGAGGCAACGGCCAAAACACGGGCTTCCAGGCTTGCTTTGCGATCCGAATTTCAAATTGCCTCGTCCCTTCGCCGAAGCGGACTAGCGCGTGCAGCTTTAACCTACAGGCAGCAGGCTTATACGAAAAAGGGCCTTCAGAACGGGCCGGAAAGGAGGCCACAAGCAGCCAGAGGCCAAAGGAAGGCGGAGGCCAGGCAGCAGAGAAACTCTATGCGTAATGCACTGGGCTAGTGTAACTAGCCGATTGCTAATGCACCGCTTCGGGCCACTTGTGCAACGAGTTTCCTGCCTTGTAGCCTTGCATGCTATGGGCTGACCGCATAAGTTCCTCGGTCACACAACAGGGGCGCCGAGCGATTCCGAATGGAACATCTTTGCGCCAGCATCGAGCAGTTCCTGTTGAACAAATCGCATTGGAATGAAATGGTGCTCACATGGAACTGTCTTCAAGTTGGGATTCATTTTGTTGCCTTTTGTTTTGAACGACACTGAGAGGAGGGACCAATCGTTTTGGTATACAGTCAAGTTCTTCCAACAATGTATATATATATGGGTGTGTGTGTGTGTGCGTGTTTGCGGGCACTCCTGTCTTTGTCATTGCTTGGTAGCGCGGACAAGTAGCAAGTATGGCCCCCTGGAGAGTTCAAATTTGGCCTGGTATGATGTGTGTTTCCTTATCCAAGTGGTTCGACAAATGCTTCCACGGGCAAACATCACTATGCCCTTGTTTGTCCAGCAGGTTCTCCTTCATATGTCCTTTTGTATTTGTCAGCTGTTTTGATGAAGAGCTGTTTGGAACTTGGAGCTGTAAAGGGTGAGAGTGAGCGCAGCATACCTGCACAGTCCATGGTGATGGCTCAAATGCAGCGTCGTGTCAAGGACATGAAGGCTTCCATCATATTAGACTATTAGACTATTATTTGTGCTGTTCTCGCTTCGCATCCCTGGGCCATGCCGGCCTTTGATCCTGAGGTGCAGGCGGGGGCCGGAGCTTGCGGCCCCGTTCGGCTCGTTTGCTAAATGGTCGAATAGCCTTTCTTCTTTCGGAGGACAGTGAGTCTTGAGCCCCCCCATGTTGCCTTGAGGGAAACGGCGGATGTGTTTCAAAAGCTGAACGTAATGATCGGAGATGAGCCATGGTAAAGCCAACTTGGGAATCTTTGCATGCGTGAGAACTGAAGCCTTTTGGGAGCTGTCATTGCATGCCGACTGCTGATTGCTTGCTGGGCGTGCAGCCATTCTTGGACCAAAAGTGGTGTGCAAGAAATCAAGCTTGTTTTTAGGCTTGCTTGGGTTTGGGTAGCCCTGCCATGGCCGGGGTATAAGTGCTAGCTGTCTCCGTATCGCAATCGGATATTGGGATCCATAGTGTTTAGAGGGCAACGCTATGGAAAACAAAGGGATAACTAGAGGATAACACTGCTACTGGAAGACTGCAGTCGGAAAGCACTACCTCCAGACTGCAGGAGGGTGCTTCTACTTCTGCACAGGTGTAACACTACCGGAGGAAGAGGAATACTATGAGAGGCTAGCATCACTGTTGCTGGAAGAGTGCGGGACAGTAGCACTACTGGAACAGTACGTGAGGACAAAACTACTGGAGGACTACGGGGAGACGAATACAGGAAGATTTCGCACTTTGGGCAACACTGTTGTTGGGGATATTCCGGATATATTCCAGGAAGGCTTGTTCGGGAAGACTATGAGTGTGATTGGAGAGGCTCGTTCGGGGGGAGACTGCGTGAAGAGTTTAGGACGGCTGCAGGCTACAGGTGCAAATAGCAGCTGCGGACGCTTCATTGGTTCGACAGAGTTGGGTGCCGCTTTTCCTTAGGCGACGGTTGCATCCTTTTTATAGGCTGTCTCTTCAGGAAGATGAGCGCGGTTCTTCGTGCCCTCGTTTACAAGCAACACTTGGGAGCGCTGGACCGTGCTCAGGCGAATGCGGTCTGCTGCGTTACCTCCTTTGGCGTTGCCAGCATGTGTTTGATCTTCCATCGACCATTGGTGGGGTATGAAGTGCCGGTTGTCCGGAGCAGGGGTGGGGCATGCTGGCGCTTTGTGTAAAAGGCAATAGAGCAATGTCGATTCAAGACGTCATCGTGCAGTCTTGGTGCTGCCCTGTGAAAAGTTGTTGAAAGTCGAGCGCTTGTTGTGCGTCAGGTGACCAACTTGGCTGGGCCGTGTTCTATGAAGACCTGAGGGCTTTCAGGACACAAGAGTGTCAACGCTGACATGAGCACGATGTTTCTTGGGCGGGGAAATACGCAGATTCGTTCTCTGAAACACGAACACAAATATGACGCATTTTGCCCTTTGGCCGCCTACCTGGCCATGTCCGATAGTGATGCACGTGGCTCAGGGAGGCGGATCAAGCAAATCTGTTGCTGCAGATTTGTCAACCATCATTTCCTGGCGCAGTGTTGTCATTTCCAGTTTCTGGCGAGACCAGGAATTCTTTTGGCATGACAGTGCTTCTTTCTTCTGTGGGGAACAAGTCATCTCAATCCCCGAGCCTAGCAGAGGTCATTGGCAGCGAAGTCCCGTGTGGAATTCTTATGCGTCGCAGGATTTGCGAGTATGCGGAGGATGTGCACATGTCGAGGACATCGGCTCTTGCGGGTTTCAGACAGACTCAGAAGGTAGCTTGCGACGATGCCTGATTTAATCAGGGATTGGGGGGGGAAGGGGCCCGAAAAAGCCTGATTCGCAAGACCAAATCGTTACCTAGGGCACCCTCCCCCCCCCCGGCGCCCCCGGCACGAGCGTGTTCCATAATCTCGTCCACATGTTTGCAGCTGGGGAACCAGTCTTTCTACACATCTCTAGACGTTCATTTAGGATTGCTAGTGCTAATATCCTGACAACTCCTGAGTCGTACATGTCGTCGCTGGGCTGGCTCGGCTAGCTTCGTTCACCCGCCTCTCAAGTTCAAATGCCGCTTCGAAAGAAGTGGCTAGAAGTACTGTGGGCTGGTGTGGGTATGCATGAAATGGAGCACTCGCACAAGTTGTTGCAACGTCAAATTATTTTGGCAGGCACATGTTAATCCTTCGACCTATGCGCAAAAAGGTTGGCGGTTTTTGTTGGTGACCTTCAGCGTGCACAGGGTGGGGAGGGAAAATGTGTTGGCGCGTGTGCGTTTGCTTATGGCGTTTGTCTCGGGTAGTCCAGGCCCATTAGATAGATGCCAAAGGATAGAGTTGTCCAACAATTAGACAGCCAGGCAGGCTTGGCCGTACATGCTCGTGCAGCTGTTGCGCACAGTATGTTTTTTCTTCATCCGATTTTGCGCTTGCACGTGCCAGCACGTGCTTGTGTGCGTGTTTGTATGCATGTTTGCAGATCCCTTGAGCTTTTTGATTGGATGTTTGTGTCTGCGTGGCATCTCCAGGTCTTGATGCTGGCGCACATGTTGTGTATTGATGTAGCAAGTTCTGCAGGCGGAAACCTTTCATCAATCTTCATTAATGCTCTCGTTCAACATTAATTATCAGGCTTTACTTGTTGTGCTTTGTTTGTGAATTTGCTTGTGAAAGCTTCTTAGTGGTCCCTTGCCTCCGAGTGTGGGGAGTTCCTACTTCCCGCCAAAGCAAAAGATGTTGACCCCGACCAAGCGCAACATGCACTTGGGCGCCCCTCTTGAATTCCGAAAGACCAAACCAACTTCAAAAAGTATCAGATCACAGAAAGTCCACCATTTCTCTTCGAGGACAGAGGCACTTCTTTTGCAGCTGCAGCCGAGACTTTGTTGCCAGTTGGGCGGCCGAGAGCGAGCGAAGAGCGCGGTTGGTTCACGCAGTGAGGGGAGGACGGCACTGAGCGGCAAGTAACCTAGCGAAATGCCATGCCTTCCAAGAAGTATGAGGACGCTTTCCAAAGCAGAGCGCGCCGTGCCAGTCTCCTGAGCGGAGACGCAGCAAGGAAGCTATGCGGGAGACCCAGAGGGCACTGTTTGCACAGTCTGCCAAAGTCAACGGACGACAGTTTTGAACATGTACGGCAGAGGTCATGATATACAGTGAATATATATACAGTCTTGGCACTGTCTAACAGGAGTCTCGAGTGATGAAGTGACCTCAGAGTTTGGATTTGCACCCAAGAAGGTGGTTTTTTCTTTGCCAGCTGCAGCAAAGTCTTGTTCATTGGAGGGCTGCCCTCTGGATTCTGTTGGTTGTTTTCCTTCCCCCATATTGAGAAGAATACCCTCTTGCGGAATCCACATTTCCTGATGGTAGGTGGTGGATGCATGCCGTACTTAAACTTGCCACCGGAATCCGTGTTAGCTTGTACTGTTTTTCCAATCGGGTTGCCAAGGCTGACGCTGACGACAAACCGTCAGTTCACCAAGGCTTGCCCGGATACATTTGGTTCAAGAACAAAAAGATGAGTGCAGCTTTTGGTCCGCCATTTGCAGCTTTAGTCTTGAATCTCACATTTGTCTGGATATCAGCCGTAGACTCACATCTGCGACCGATCGCCACGGCGTAGAGGGGACAAGGGCTGGAACGACCTTCTGTGTCATCTGAGCTGTGGTCATTTCTTGGTTGGCATCGCAGTGGACGCCGGGGACTTTCACAGAAGCTGAACATGCTACGTGAAGGTCTTGCTGAGGGTGTGCTGCTGACCCGCCGCTTTTACTTGACCTGAATTTGGACAGGTTGCGTCGTGCAAGCGTCAGGTGGGATCTTGTAGATCAACACACAGCAAAGCATCAGCAAAGGCAGCAGCAGCTTATTCAGAAACCTGCTCGTCACAGGCCTCGCTTTCAGGTTATTCAATGAAAGGTCAGGTCGGCACCTCTTCGGCTCGAACAAGCAGGGGAACCGCTTCATCTTCCGATCGACCTGCGCAGCATCAGTTGTTCCAGGCGGCAAGCAAGGCGGTTGCTCGGCCTGTCTCGCAGTCGCCTCCAAGGCATCCTGAGCCCAGCGCATCGCTTGTCAGCGGAGATCTGTGAATTGAGCCTTGCCAAAGGCGTGTACAAGCGCACGAACGGGATTTGCGAGGAACAGGATGTATCCTTTGTCTACGAACCAAGGCACGGAGGCAGTGCAAAGCAGCGTTCACTCGCGCCGGTATTTACATGGTTACAATCTGCCCTTCGTATCTCCACGGCCGGGAAACCCTCGATAACCTCGTCGAGACTGCCAATCGGACAGAGAGCGCGCGAGAAGCCTTCGACTTTCTAATTACAACTTCGGAAAGGCTCGGTATATCCCCCGAAAGCCTCATTCTCGCGACTCTTGTCACAACTGTTCCTTTCAAGCCCCTAAAAACCGGATCAGACGTCAAGGGGACACAGTCCTTGGTTGGAAACAACTCCGAGGCCAAGGATTATTGGGAGTTTGACGAAGTAAAGCATGAATGGGTACTACTGCGCATAAGACCTAGAGAAAGGCTATATGCGCCTGCGGGTAAGGATTGTCATTTCGACTCTAATGAAGTTGAGCCGGAACGCATCACCGAGTGGAGGTGCAAAGGAAGAGTTTCCGTGCATAGAGACAACTGGCAAGAGACCCCGTACCAAAGGATTCGCATCTAAGAGTTCGTTTGGTAAGACGTGGTTCTTCCCTGGGCAACGGGCTTGTAAGTAACGGCGCATGGACTGTTGATCAGGCCATTGCAAAGGAAGACCTTTTGGCAAGATGTTAAGCGGATACAGAGCATATCAACATTGCCTCTCTTATGACAGTCTTGTCGATCAAACACTGAGGCTCCAGAGTTGCGCAAACTCAAGGCTGGATTGCTTTCCCGAGAAACAACATCCTTACCGAGGACAAAAATCAAACGGGTCAAAAGTCACTCCAACCGGAAGGAACGGGGCCAAAACATCAATTTAGCGTATGGTCCTCTCCGAGACGCCAGTCAGACCACCCAACCGTACCTTGGGACCATGGGTAATCTTGCCGTGAGAGTTGATCCCAGCCAATTACCGACGCGTTAAAAAGCCGTGCGGGCATCACGAATCAGGGTACCACTCGGATCAAAGGCTGAGGCAGGTCATTTCCATTTTCATTTTGGTTCGCTAAGAGAAGGCTTCTCGTGACTTGCTATGTCGACGACATTCTGTGCCCAGGACCGACTTCAGAACAAGATAAGTTCTGGCAGGAGTTTGAAAAACACTTGGAGATCGAACCTCCAACAAAGGTTGACTGTGTGCTTGGCCGACAGCACAAATTCGATCGTGCCACGGGACGACCCTTAGTCTCGCTCGAGATGTTCGATTTCGTCAGAAACGCATGCGCAGTATATGAGGATCTTGCTCAGCGCAAGCTTTCCAAGGCTGCCAACCCCTACTGGAGGGTAGTCTCACAATCTTCGATTGTGAGAATAAAGGGATAAAGGAATCTTGGATGAAGACCAGGTCTCACGAAGGGCATAGGTGACTCCACCCGTAAAATCACAGCTTGGAGTAGAGCTGATGACAAGCGACTCCACAGGTTAATGTGTTATCTTTTATGGTTCAAAAACTCATTGCAATGCCGCCACGAGGCTTCGTTGAGTTGATCTTGAACCGTCAGGCGATGCTTGAGTTCTTCCAGGAAAACTCAGCTGCGATTCCAGTCGCGGCGTCAGGTTTCAGCCCAAAGTTGAGGCGTCTCGCAAAAACTGAGAAAATCAAAATAGGGTCAGCTTATGAGGTGTTCAAAGGTCCGAGTTCTAAACTTCTGTACATTGCAACGGACAAGCAGCGCGCAGATGTGTTCACGAAACCTCTGCCAGTGCGCAAGTGGGACCACGCATTGCACCTACTCAACATGGTATCCGAAAGTTCAACTTGATGTGTGCAATCTTGTGACGCGAGAACGCTCCGAGACATGTAGCCGGATAGTTGATAGTTCAAAAAGCTACGCTGCAGTCTTCGCACCGAGAAGGGGGAGAAGAATACCCTCTTGCGGAATCGTCATTTGCTGATGGCATGCATGCCGTAATGACACTTGCCACCGGCATCCGTGTTAGCTTGTACTGTTTTTCAAAGCGGGCTGCCAATGTTGACGCTTACTATTGTTTGCCCGGATACATATTTGGCTCAAGAACAAAAAGGTGAGTGCAGCTTTTGGCCCGCCATTTGCAGCTTTACTTGGCTTGTCTTGAACCTCACATGTGTGATATTGTTATATCAGTTGTATCCCAAAGGGCGCAGTAACCCTGTTGACAGCCCGAGAGGGACCCATGTTCCTTGACACTTAAGAATACTTGCGCGACATCAGTTCAACGACCCCCCAAGGTCACGTAGCGTCAGAGTATATACGTATATAATATGTGTTTGTTTATACGTATAGATATTGTGCACCACACGTTTTCTATAGCTGCCAAATGTGCGGTCTTGGCAAGCTTGGCCTTGGCTTCGGGCCAGGCCGCGTGGCTGAGTCCTGCGGCGTGGAGCAGGCCCAGGCGAGCCGTCGCAGAGAGCAAAGTTTCTTGTGAAACTGGCGCAAGGCTTTCCGAAAGTTGCGTAGTTGGGAAAGAAGAGGATTGCCGCATGCCGCCTTTCCTGTTCAACCAACGTGATGGCGTGCTGTTTCCAAGGACCAAACACTGCGCTGTAGTAAGCAGAATGAGATTGGGTATGCTCACATTGCCGTGCTGTCGAGGGGGGGGGCACCTGGAATATGTTTGAAGATAATCGACTGTAGCTCAAGTGAGCCGTCCTTAGTTCAGGCATCGGAGCCCAAGCAGGTGGACCTCGAGCAGGACGGTCAAGATATCAAGTGGTTTTGTTCCCCAAACTGGTGTTTTCAACATTTAGTGAGATGATGGATGTCGGCGTAGCATTGAGCAGAATGGACACGACTGGACCCCCGTTTCAGATGACCACTCACAGTCAGCCTGTTTTTTTTGCGCATCTGTGCATGTGCGCATGGCAAGTGTTTGTGTGTGTGTGTGTGCATTTGGTATGTGCAGATTGTAGATTCCGGTCAAAAAGCCGAAGGCAAAAAACATGAACAAGGTTCCCGATTGAGATGTGCCTCTTAGTGTTTGGTACGAGGCGGGCCCCCGCCAAAAACGATTCGCGGCAGTGCTAGCCTGGCCTAGCTTGGCACTGGCGTTCCAAGACACACTTGTGTGATCTTGTGTGTGTGTGTGTTTGTGTTTGTGTTTGGGCGTGTGTAACGTAGCGCTGGCTGAATGTGTGCTGGCAAAATTGCAACGCTGCCCCACGAGCGGCTGCATGGAATTCCACATTGGGGTTTGGGAACAAATATTGCAAGCAGGTTCTAAATAATATAAACGAAGGTTTTGTGTGTATTCTGTCTTGTGTGTGAGCGCAAGCTACGAAGCGCGGGAATCCTTGATTGATGCTGTGGCTAGTGGCTTCGCGCTTTGTGCGCTTTGGTTAGGAAGCCCCATGATGTGAACCAATCAGGCTGAGCCAACGTGTGAGCTCAAGGCAAGATGCGCGCAACAGGACCTCCTCAGGCTGTTGGCTGGCACGGAGCAATGCGGCCTCAGCCGGCACTTGGAGGTGGGGGCGCTGCATGGTGCTTTGCATTGTAGGCGCTCTAGCTCTTCGCCACTCGTCCATAACAGCGGCTTGAGTGTATGTTTGTCTAAATTCGCCTGATTTTGGCTGGAAGGAGCAGCGGCAAAAGCAGGCTATGCGGGCCCTCGCCACTCTCATTGGGCCACGCTGGCTTCATTTTGCAAATGATCAGTGCATCAAACATGCCAGCATTTCTACATGGTGTTTGTGCTGGGGTGGAAGAGCGAGATGTTGGCACTGCCTGGCTCAGTGCTGGTAGACAGCAACACGCATCAGAAGTAGATACTTCTCATATATCTGCGGCACGTTTGGGTATGGAATAGACACGCATTGTGCGTTGTTTGGTGGACATGTTTCCGGCAAATCCAGGCACTTGCAGCTGTTGAACGAGCCGGGCTACTTCAACGCATGCACACTTGGACTCTACCCTTTGAAGTGTGCACCTTAGTGCTGCTTTAGTTTGCAGGCATGTGTTTAGACAGCTTGAAAGAGGCTCGTGCCAATAGTTCACGATGAGATTGTTTGGCAACTTAAACTTCAACGCTACTTGAACTGGACAGAAACGGGAAATTGATGATAATCAAACGTGTTGAGCGAGCTGAATCGATTGAACCCAGCCACAGTTGCTCACTTTTGCAAGAGCCTGAGGAATTTTGTTTTCCTGGACAAAGCAGCCTTCTCCGCGCTCAATGTTTGGGGCTTGGTGTGTCGGAGTACAGCTTATGTCACGCAACTAATTTTGCCGGAGGCAAACAAATTCGGTTTGTCTCGGCGCAGGTCCTACCGCGACCAGACGAAAGCCAGAGGCTCCGTTGCGGGTCAGCGCTGTGAAGAAAGAGGAAGAAGAGCGGGATGGCAGGTCCAGCACCAACTTGCTGGGCTTGCTCAATAGGCGGGATTTGCATGGATTGCAGAATATGAGCCACAGTCACTGTCCACATCAAATGCTAGCCAATCTATGATCTTGGTAATTGGTAAACTTTTGACAAAACATCGCCAAACCTTTGGTGAATCATCGCCTGATTTGAAGGGCGTTGCTGAGCATCTCGTCAGTGTTAGTCTGAAAGCAACCTTTAGGTCACTGGATGTTCGGGTTTAATAGTATGGGGGGCAGACTCCCCTGAAGATTTGCAAAGCGTTTCTCGCATGAACATGTTGGTGTTAAGCTGTGCAATTTCCACCAGCGCCTGGACCCTGTATCATGCCATTGTTACTCATACTGGCTGCGTTGTCCTTATTGCCCTCACCAACCTCCCTGCCGTCCCCTAAGATACACCCCTTCATCCTGCACACAGCTGCCATGCTTTCAGTTGACCAGCGTCGCCATGTACAATGCTGGCGATGCTGTCGTGATGGCGCATTCGTTGGCATCACTGCCAAGTCCTCCTGTTGCATTTAGCTTCGACCCTCGTTTAAGGCTTTGCCCTTAGACGCAGCTCTTTGAATGGACATGCTCACGTGCTGTTCGCTTGCTTATGCTTATGCGCACGCGCGCGGGGCAATCACGCGCACAGCACACAAAAGCCCTGAGCGCTGGAAACGCAGCTGGGACACAGGCATCTTCCTCAGGACGTCCTTGTATTTCCTGACCGCTGCAGCCTGAAGAGCGGAGAGGAAAGTGTGTTTTGTTTGGTTCGCAGACTCGTCCTTAGCTTCTGTTTGATTATGCAGCTGCACATGATTGTTTAACGATCAGTCCCGGAAGCAATTTTCCCATTTGGAATGCAGATTGCAAATGAAAGCTGTAAAAAAAAAACAGTGATTACAGCAACTCAGGCTGCAGTCAAGTTGTCCAGGACAAAGTCAAATGCAGCAAGATCCGACGGCAATACACTGGGCCAACTCTGAATCTGGGGGAATGCGACATAGAACACCCTTCGCCATCAGCACAGGCCACAGGTTTTCAGATTGCGCAAGGCTTGACCTGAACGCGTGCGGAGTCGCGCATGGATTGGCCCACGGGCGTCGGTTATTGATGCCTCTAATGAACAGAGCGGCAAAAGCTTTGTCAGCACGCAGTTGCGGAATGGAGTGAAACATAATGCCAGAGAAAGGTGCCGATCACAAATTGGGCAGAGACGCCTTCGGCAGTGGCTGACGCTCCCTGGCTTGGATGGGAAAGGGCGCAGTTCTGCTCATGGCTTTGCAGGTGAGCAGTGACTGTTTTCAGGGTAGCCAAGATGAGTTGGGCTGTCCTGTTGATTCCATGTGGTGTTTGGTTTGACTGCTTTGAGACTGCAAGCTTGGCACGGGCCACCCTCTCAAACGGAGTCGTCCAATCGAGGCAGCCACTGACAGATCCACGAAAGATCTCGCGGCGGCACGACATGGCCGGCTGCTCTAAGCTCTGGTCAAAGCGAGCATGTGCGATGTGCACGGGGCGATTCCCCAGAAAGTTGCCAGCTGTCAGGTCGAGATGCTCGTGACCAATGAGTCTTTCCTGCGGGACTTGGAGGCAGTTGAAATTTGTGGAAATTTGCCCAGGCAATCAGCGCTCTTCTTGCTAGAGTGCAGGAGAACAGAACATATTTGTCCCTAGCCTAGCCAAGGCTCGGCAATTAAAATTCACCCGCCATGAGTTCCAAGGAGAACTCTGCCCAGAGGCTTCCACTTAGCCTGACTTCCGCGAAGGCGCAGCTGCGGCGGGTGCCGGACCTCGAGCGCCTGTCGGCGCGGCTGCACCGCACCGCGGCAGGGCCAGGGGCCTCAGGGGCCCAGGGGCCCAGGGACCGGTGATTGACTGCGACGATGCGACGATTGTGAGTTGTGTTCTGTTTGGTGTCAACTCGAATCGTTGGTCTCACAAGCATTCGGTTCTGCCATGCAAGCATTCGGTTCTGCCATGCTGTTGGAAAGCATCGTGGACTGGACTCATCGTGCCAATTTGAGGACTATGACCTGATCAGGGTATTTTGAATGAGAAGAGACATTTTCTTTGGAATCAAGATCCACTCCAACTAAGAAACGTTGCCGAAAGCGCCCTTCATGCAGGTTGTGTAGACTGCGCTCATCGCGCGCACACAAACACAAACACAAAACACACACACACACACAGACAGAGAGAGAGAGAGAGAGAGACACAGAGAGACACACACACACACATGCAAACACACAGATGAGCCCACTTCACAAGGGTAGCATGAGACCGCGTTTCTCACTTGCTTGAAGCCCGTCACACACACAGTAGAAACCCTATGTAGAACGCCAGAGCAGGCTGCTTTGTGACGACTTCTTTGTGGTCCCAGTGAGGTCCAAGTCTCAAGGCGCATCTCTGGAAGATCTGGTGTCCTTGTGCGCCTGGCAGCCATGAGGGAGGCTTGCGTTTGACATTTGAACTTGTAGGCCCATGTAGGCGCAGACAAGAGGGCGCAGAGGTCAACGCGGGCGTGAACAGTTCCAATAATATGGGCTTATGAGAAAATTGTGCGCGTGTATCATGCCAGCAGGCGAGGCCTGCGTCTGAAAGGTACTACTGCGTGCTTGCGACGGACAAGATCATCAAGGCAAGCGATGGCAGCGCACCTTTTAAGCTGTGGCTCTCGCACCAGCATACTGCTTCAGTCATTCAGCCCACCAGTTGCAGCGAGTACAGGAGTCAGGTCCCGCAGAGCTGAACAATTGCAATTCCGAAACCACCTAGGGCAACTTTCGGGCGCTGCTCGCAGGCCCTGGAGAGGTACGAGGGGCAGCATCAAGCGGTGCTGCGGGAGATGCAGTTGGACCGGTTGAGGCGAGTGAAAACAACTGGTGGGGGGCGGGTGTTTGGTTGGGTGCGCTCTCATGCAGTATGAGTATGCTATGTGTTTGCAACAAGCAAGGTCCGGGTGGGCGTGAGACTCGCAAGCAACACGTATATTAGTATTAGTGTTGCTTGAAGAAGCAATCAGAAGCAGTGAAGGAGATGATATTAGGATCACCGCGTGTGGGAGCCAGCACGTCGAGGAGTGAACATGGTCGAAAGGAGTCTCAAACAGAACCAGTACATGGGAGACCAGTAGCGCGCAGGTTCTGAGCTTGAGCTTGCCGTGCGCTGCGCAGACAAGACTGCAGTATGAAGTTGCCTACATGTTTTTAGAGCACAATGTTTGCAGGCAACACATGCAAGAATTAACACTACCCCTCAGCGATGGGTTGCATGGACATTGGAGGACAAGTCAAACGGAGGCTTCGATAGATGCAAATGACATGTTATTGTCCCTGCAACTTCGCATGTTTGATGATCACCTTGGGACCGTTCCAAAACAATAGCAATGTGTTGGTTTGGTTCGCCTGTGTTTGCTATCCTACTGAGTACTCAAATGTTACACTTTTGGTTCGACCATTTTGGGCGGGGGGGGGGGGGGCGAACGAACCTGTTTTTGATCACAAGGCGGGGTAGAGAAGAAAGGGACTGAGCAAACCCCCCTCGCCCTGCAAAATTGTAAGCATATTTTGTGATAGAGTTGTCCGAGTCTCTGACCAGGAACAATTGATGTGTGTGCTCTCGAAATTGACGTTGAAAGGCGTAGAGTGTGGTTGGGCTCTCGAAGGCTCAGGATGCAAAAGCCCCTGATCCGAAGAGGGCTTTGTGCTCAACTCGATGACAGAGCAATGAAAACATTTAGTCAAATTATACCCGAGTCCACTAACAGCATGGGAACAATTCGGCATTTCTGCTCTTCTGCAAGTGAGGAACAGGAAAGCCGCAAACAATGAAGAAGGTTCGAATAAATCAATAGAAAGCAGTGCCCAGCATGATCTCTGTCCCCGCCCCCAGAAAGCCCCTATCAACATTGAATTGTGCTGAGACAAACAAATTTGAACTAATTGAGGGGATGCCAGAGTCCTCCAGCAGAAGAATACTTCTGAAGGCTGACCTTTTGATCCCATTCTGATCCTCTTTGCCAGGAAGCCACGAAACTATCCAAAACATTCGAACAAAAATAAAAGACCTGGTCACATCGCAATAAGAAAACAGTGCCCTGCTTGATCACCGCCTCCGCCCCCACGAAGCCCTTATCAACCTTGAATTGCGCTGAGTAAGTCTTCCAGCTGCATAATAATATGTCTGAAGGCTGCCTGGTTGATCCTGTGTTGATTCTGTTTGGAAGCAACGAAGCTATCAAAAAACATAGGGGGCGAATCTGGTCGAATCACATCAAGCTCAGAGCACGATAGACAACAGTGCCTTGCTTGATCTCCGCACGAAGTAATCCGGGGATGGCTCAGTTGTGGGGTGTGCCGACACGTGAATTGAAGGCTGGTGCGTAGGTCATGCACCCCTGGGTTTGGTAACTCCACTGAGTTTTTTTTATTCGCCAGCAATGCCCTTGGAACCTAATAGAAACATGAATGACACTCCATGGTACCCCCAATTCATAAAACGATTGAACTCGCAGCGGAAGGGTACTCGGATCTATTCTTTTGATTTATTGGGGGGATGCCCTCACTTATACCAACCCTACACCAAGAAATAGCAAAGCAACAACACCGAATAATATGCGCCCGTTCTCAAATGCGCGTCAGTACTTAAGATAGCACAACCCGGTGGCGTGCTCTTTGTTTCAATCTGCCTGTGTTCTGAGCAGAGACCATGTTTTCTCAGTTTGTTTTGTTTCACTTGTTTGTTTTGTTTCACTTGTTTTGCACAGCCAGTGCAGGAAGAAAGTGGCAAGAGCCGTGCTCGAGAAACTCGAGCAAGCGCCCTAAAGCTACTGCACCTTTTCTGTTGTCGAACTGTACTATTTCAATACTTGTTCCGTTCCATTCAATCCATCGCCTGCCACAGACCCAAACAGCACCTCAGGAAAGACATGTCTTCGAGCCCATTTGTTTTATCACATGTGCTTCAACCATTGCCTGTCCTGAGACCAAGGCTTCAAGCACGAAGCCCCCTAGGCACTTACATTTTCCTGAGAGTGAAGACCTGAGTTCTGTTCTTGCCAACCAGCGACACGCACACGATAGACTCAATAGATTTCTGATGTACTTACATGTTTGCGTTGAGTCGCACCCAAGCTGGTGCAGTCAACGTTGTCGTGCCCAAACGCAAATCAAGTCACTTTGCTGCCAAAACATATTGGCTGGTCAATGGCCAAACTTGGAAGGCAAGCACAGGAAAATGTGGTCTCGTCCCTCCCCATTCCCAAATTTCATGACTGTTTTGGATGATGTTGGATGCCTTGGACTGCGAGGTCCATCATGGCAGACTTCGGGAACTTTTGCGCCCTTGTGGAACAAACCATTGACCTGCAACAGGCGGAGTTGAGGACACGGTGCATTGGGCTGTGAGTTGGGAATGGATTGATTCGTTAACATGGCTGAGATGCAGAAGCCTCATTTGGTAAAAGGGGCGCTTTCGCAGAGCGATTGCTTCCTGGGGTCCTCATGGTCTCGCGCAGCGGAAACCAGCAAAGTGCACCGCGCTCTCCGCAGGAATTATTGCATTAGCACGGCTTTCGACCCTTCCTTGAAGCAGATGGCCCAGCAGCGTGACAAAGTGCGCGCGCAAATGGAGGCCGAGACTGTTCTTCGGATGGCTCTCGACCAGGTATGTGGCGGGTTAGGAATTCTGCATGTGATGGGTCAAGTGAATTTCTAATGTCCAATCCCGCCCCTGCGCCCTACCCACCCCATGCAGTCCTGAGCTTGGTCAGCCCCCTCACTTCGCGCAGTGTGTGCGTGTGTTAGTTTGCTGTTTGTGTGTGCGTGTGCGTGTGTGTTTGTTGTGTATTTTGTCCTGTTTTGTTTGTTTATGTGTTTGTTTATTTTGATCTCTTCGTTTTGGTTCTGTGATTATATCTTTATTTGTTTGTTGGTTTGTGTTTTTGCTTTGTTTTGCTTTGTGGTTGCTGTGTGTTTGTTTGTGCTTTTGTTTGCCTGGGTATGTCGTGTTGTTTTTTTAGTTTGGTGTGCGACGCGTGCTTGCCTGCCTGCCTTCCGCCTGCGCCTGTAAAGGGGAAGATTCTTACAGGACAGATGTTATAAAGGTGGGGAGGAGATTCCCGTTGATTGGTACAAGTTCTCGGACGATGAACCGTTCAAGCTTCCTGATCAATATGATCATGTCAAACTGGATGTTAAAGGTACTCCCTACGAGGCCGGAATTGACGGAAGACGAGCTTGCAAAACCCAAACATTTGCCCAGAAGAATGGAAGAAGATGTCTCACGTCGACTCTGTGAGCGGATCGGGGCGGTGGCTGGGCAAAAACTGCGGTTCTTGCCTATTTTGCTGCTCGCGCGAACTTCGCGGCCAGGCATGGTCGATGTGCCAAAACCGAGGAGTCCAATTATTTGACCCTTCGCATGGATCGGCGTGATTGATGAGGCCAGGATGCCGGCGCCGGATTGCCTGCCCTGCGCTGAGAACGACGCACGCGAACAGAGCACTTGCACAGGAACTCTCGCCGAGAGTGCGCCCAGAGGAACTTGCGCCGAGAACTTGCGAAGATAATTTCGCTCAGACAGCTTGCGCAGAGAAGTTAGCGTTGAGAGCTTGAGCGGGGACACTTGAACCGATAACACGCATGGAGAAGTTGAATGGAGATCTCTGGCACGCAGAATTTGCGCAGAGAAACCTGCGCGGAGATCTTGCGCACAGAAGTTTGCGGAGAGACTCGTACAGCTACGGCTGGAACGTTTGCAACATTGCGCATAATCATAGACCGGCGTTTTTTGACTTTGCAGAAACAGCAACAAAGAGACCCGCCATGGTTCTAGTTGTGTTTGTGTGTTTGCGCGGGTGCGTGCGTAGGAGGGCGAGCAGGGCCGCGGGTTTGCGTGCGCGCGGGCGTGTGTTTGTTGTCTCTGTGCGCTTTGTTCTCTGTGTGTGTGTGTGTCTCCGCATGTCTCTGCGCGCCTGTGTTTTTTTGCCTGTGCCTCCCCACACGCGCGCGCTCTCGTGTTGTTTGAGTGTGTGTGTGTGTGGCTCTGTGTCTGTGGGCTCTTTCTTGGAGATTTGAATATGCGTTTCTCTTTCTTCTGCTGAATTCTGACAGTCCTGTCCCGCACCAGACCGTTCGGGCGGATGTGGACAAGAAGCTGGGCTTGGCCAGCAGGGCGCGCAGCTGGTAAGACAAGGGTTCCGCTTTGGAGTCTCTACTAAATAAAACGGTTCAAACAACCTTGTTTTTCAGCATCGAATTGCCGACGCAATCTCTCGACTTCCCAATTGCTCTTCTCTTGTGGTCTGTTAGATTGTGCCAGACTGTGTCTAACCTCCTTTGTTGGTGCAGTTGGTGCAGAGAAGATTTTCATTGGACCCCACCGTAACGCATTTGTTGTTTCTTAACTCTACTTGACCACAAACCCTGGACGGTTGGCCCCCCCTATGTCGAATGTGTGTGAGTCTTCTTCGTCCTGTCGAGGCCGTGGCAACGAGAAGCCAGTGTCACTGCAGGAGTGCCCAGACGGCCTGGCGCTGCGCGTCACCAAGAAGCACCAGCAGGACTGACAAGGGCAAAATTGTTTCTGAAGCTAGCGCGTGTTTTCCAAGAAGCGTTTGGGGCGAGACTCCCACAGTGCCGTTTGGGTCTATTTTGCGAAACCGCCATGACTAGGAGCTGTAAAAGCCCAAGTATTGACAGTTGATTCTTGCGGGCCTCACTTTTCAGCGCAGGTGATCCAGACCTTCTCGGGCAAGCCGCAGTTGAAGGCAGCCCAAGCAACAGTGCCTGATTCTTGACAGAGAACGCCTGTGCCCGCCAGGTGCTGTCCATCAAGAAGCAAGAGGTGATGTTCACAACCACTGATTTGGCCAGGCTGAACAAAGACTTGCAACAGGACTGGGTGAGGGCGCAACGTTTGGGCGATCGGAGGTTGCCAGCTGTTTTCGTGGCTGACAAGCCCTTAACTTCGCAAGCGAATGTTCGGTATCTGTGCGCGCGTTGGTGCGAACATTGCCCGCCAATCGTGTCCTCCACTGGTGGGGTGGCGCGTTACGAACTTGGTGAAGTGGCGCGAGGCAGTGGACAATTACCAGAAGCAGACTGACGCGTGGCCTCGGCGTGTTTGGTAGCTCTTCTGTGCGGGTGTGCTTGCTACGTGCGCGTGTGTCTGTATGTGTGTGTTTGTGGTGGTTTGTGGTTGTGTGTGTGTGTGTGTTTGTGTGTGCTTGTGTGTGTTTGTGTGTGCTTGTGTGTGTTTGTGTGTGTGTGTTTGCGTGTGTGTGTGTGTTTGTGTGTTTGTGTGTCTTTGTGGGTGTGTGTGTGTGTGTGCGTGTGTTTGTGTGTGTGTGTGTGTATGTGTGTGTTTGTGCGTGTGTTTGTGTGCTATTGTTGGTGGGTGTGTGTGTGTTGTGTGTGTTTGTGTGTGTTGTTTGTGTGTGTATGTGTGTGTTTCTGCGTGTGTTTGTTTGTTATTGTTTATGGGTGTGTGTTTGTGTGTTTGTCCTTGCGTGTGTTGGTGTGTTATTGTTTGTGGGTGTGATCGCGTGTGTGTTTGCGTGTGTGTTTGCGTGTTTGTGTGCTTGCCTGTTTGTGTGTTTGTGTTCGTGTGTGTGTGTGTTTGTGTGTGTTCTGTGTGTTTGTGTGTGTTTGTGTCTGTTTGTGTGTTTGTGTGTGTTTGTGTGTGGGTGTGTGTTTTTGTGTTTGTGTTTGTGTGTGTGTATGTTTGTGTGTGTGTTTGCGTGTGTGTGTGTGTGTGTTTGTGTGTTTGTGTGTCTTTGTGGGTGTGTGTGTGTGCGTGTGTTTGTGTGTGTGTATGTGTGTGTGTTTGTGTGGTGGGTGTGTGTGTGTGTTGTGTGTGTTTGTGGTTGTGTGTGTGTTTGTGTGTGTTTGTGTGTGTTTGTGTGTTATTGTTTATGGGTGTGTGTTTGTGCGTGTGATTGTGTGTTATTGTTGATGTGTGTTTGTTTGTGTGTTTGTCCTTGCGTGTGTTGGTGTGTTATTGTTTGTGGGTGTGATCGCGTGTGTGTTTGCGTGTTTGTGTGCTTGCGTGTTTGTGTGTTTGTGTTCGTGTGTGTGTGCTTGTGTGTGTGTTTGTGTGTGTGTTCTGTGTGTTTGTGTGTGTGCTTGTGTCTGTTTGTGTGTTTGTGTGTGTTTGTGTGTGGGTTTGTGTTTTGTGTGTTTGTGTGTTTGTGTGTGTTTGCGTGTGTGTTTGTGTGTGTGTGTTTGCGTGTTTGTGCGTGTGTGTGGTGTGTGTGTGTGTGTTTGTGGGTGTTCGTGTGTGTGTTTGTGTGTGTGGTTGTGTGTGTGTTTGTGTGTTTGTGTGCGTTTGTGTTTGTATGTGTGTTTGTGTTTGTGTTTGTGTGTCTGTGTGTTTGTATTTGTGTTTGTGTTTGTTTGTGTTCGTGTGTGTGTGCTTGCGTGTGTTTGTGTGTGTTTGTGTGTGTGTGTGTTTGTGTTTGTGTGTTTGTGTGTGTTTGTGTGTGTGTGTGTTTGTGTGTGTGGTTGTGTGTGTGGTTGTGTGTGTGGTTGTGTGTGCTTGTGTGTGTGGTTGTGTGTGGGTTTGTGTGTGTTTGTGTGTGTTTGTGTGTGTGTTTGTGTGCGTTTGTTTGTGTACTTGTGTGTGTGTGTTTGTGTGTGTGTTTGTGTGTGTGTTTGTGTGTGTACTTGTGTGTGTGTGTGTTTGTGTGTGTGCTTGTGTGTCTGTGTGTGTGTTTGTGTCTGTGTGTGTTTGTGTGTGTGTTTGTGTGTTACTTGTTTGTGTTTGCGTGTGTTTGTGAGAATTTGTGTGTCCGTGTGTGTGTTTGTGTGTCTTTGTGTGTGTGTCTGTGTCTGTGTGTGTCTGTGTGTGTGTTTGTCTCTGTCTGTGTGTTTGTCTCTGTGTCTGTGTGTGTGTCTGTGTCTGTGTGTCCCTGTCTCTGTTCGTCTCTGTCTCTGTGTGTCTCTGTGTCTGTGTGTCTCTGTGTCTGTGTGTCTCTGTGTCTCTCTGTGTCTCTGTGTCTCTCTGTGTCTCTGTTTGTCTGTGTCTGTGTGTCTGTGTGTCTGTGTGTCTGTGTGTCTGTGTGTCTGTGTCTGTGTGTCTGTGTGTTTGTCTCTGTGTGTCTCTGTGTGTCTCTGTGTGTCTCTTTGTGTCTCTGTGTGTCTCTTTGTGTCTCTGTGTGTCTCCGTGTGTCTGTGTGTGTGTCTGTGTGTGTGTGTCTGTGTGTCTCTGTGTGTCTCTGTGTGTCTCCGTGTGTCTGTGTGTTTGTGTTTGTGTTTGTGTGTGTGTGTTTGTGTTTGTGTTTATCTGTGTGTTTCTGTGTCTGTGTGTTTGTGTGTGTGTCTGTGTGTGTGCGTGTTTGCGCTCGTGCGCCTGCATCCGTGCGTGCGTACCCGCTGGCGCGTTTGTTTGTTTGTGTGTGCGGGCACCACCTGTGAACTACACGAGTTCAAGACCCGTTTCTTTGACCCTGAGCAAAATGAAGGAAAATCTCAAGGGGCGCTTCCTTCTGATGAGGTCATCAGTCGAGCCACCTTTTTTTGCTGATGAACGGCAAAACCCAATGTCAATCTCGGCGGTAGTTCGGTCGGGAACCATCGATAGACCCGGTTAGACTAGACTAATTTCTGACTAGTCAGATCAAGATGTTGGCTGATGGTAAGTTAGAATGACTGGCTTGACTAATAGTTTTCTCTTCTTTGCACTCTTCTAAAACTAGCACGCTGTGCTTTTTGTAAAGCGCTTTCAAGAAAAAAAACAAAGCCTATGTGTGTTCAACTGAGCATGTTGCTTTAAGTCTGTGTCATCAAGCAAACTGATAGTTGGAAATCCGGTCTCGCTATTAGTTACATTTTTTGGCGCGAAATTCTATCTCAGCGTCAGGAGTCAGAGTGTCAACTAATAGTCAGGGATTTGCCTAAGCGGGTCTATTGGGTATCTGCGCGCAACACCCACGCAGACTTCCTTGACAGCTACCCAGACTGGCCGGCGGATTCTTGCTTGGTGCTTTTCTGCTTCCCGATACTTTCTTTTCTTTTGACTGGCCACCACGCTCCTGAGTGTCAACGCTCTTGGCTGACCCTCAATGATGTGCTTCGGTCCTTCCTGTCAAGCGCCGCGTTGCAAACCACGAGAGGTCGCGCAGAACGCATTAATGAATTGATTGCTTGCGCGCCTTGCCCAGGTCAGATTAATTTATCTTGCACGGCGCTGTGCCATTGTAAGAGAGGCTCATCCTGGGTTCTTTACTGGTAGTTCGTGTGCAGCGATCCAGCGGGCACAGGCTTGCAGCGATCCAGCGGGCACAGGCTTGCAGGCAAACCGGCGCGAAGCTTTACACTTTGAAAGCTGACTTAACACGGCTGTTCAATGGCCACACACGGGCCTTGTCCAATGGCAAGTTCGTGTCTTTGTTGTTTGCTCGGTCTATATGAAGCAACGTTTCTAATCTGCGCGCAGACCAAACTGCGACAGCGCATTGTCATCCGAGTTAAGCAACTCCACATCAGGCCGTATGGGAAGTATCTTTGCTGCCTGGGCCCAAACCAAACCCTAAAAAAGTCTGGGCAAAGACAAATATCCAGCCCCGGCCCCGGCTGGCTAATCGAGCCTGCCAGTTTCACTCGCCAATGGCAATGTTGCCGCAAAAGCCAGGCATGAAGATTTGTGCTCCAAGGGTTGAGTGACTAGAAGCAATGCCCAAGTGTCAACCTCTTGTTGTGTTAGTTGCTGGTTTCTTTCAAATCGAGCCCAGCTTTGAAAACAGGTTCATGTGACGACTTCGGCTGGCGAAGGACTTCAGCGCAGCTTTCATGGCAGGCGGCGCTTTCGCAAAGTTGGGTGATGGACAGCCGATGGATTGGTTGGTTCTTTGACGGATTGAGTGGTTGGCTGGTTGGTTGGTAGGACTGATTGACTGACCGACTCATTGACTGATTGACTGATTGACTGATTGGTTGATTGATTGGTTGATTGATTGATTGCTTGCTTGCTTGCTTGATTGCTTGATTGGTTGATTGGTTCAAGAAAGAAACAAAAAATGGAAAGACAGAAAGACAGGAAAGAAAGAAAGAAATAAAGAAAGAAAAGAAAAGAAAAAAGAAGGAAAAAAAGGAAGAAAAGAAAAAGGGTCAAAGGAAGAAAGGAAGAAGGCGACGAAGATAAAAAGGCAAGAAAGAAAGAAAGAAAGAAAGAAAGAAAGAGGGAGAAGGAGAAAATGAACGATGACAAACCGCAAGAAGAGAAAGAAAGAAGAACGAACAGAAGAGGCGAACACTTTTGTGAAATTCCCCCACCGTCGCTTGCGCAATTGGGACCTTCCTTGGCAACTCCGTCCCCCCCCCCCACCAACCATCCAGCAAGCTCCAGCGATTCTTTTGCCCTTTCACGTTGTCCAGGCTTCTGCTCTCGATTGCCTCCTCCGCTCCTTTGAATGCCCCAGGCCCGGAGGCCCCCAAGTAGGTTCCATTGCGCAGTGCTCGCGAGCGCTTTCCGGGAGCCCATCCTGCTTGACCTGGACATCTCCAACATAGTTGCCTGGAAGGTGTCCCTGAATAGGCCGTCCAGCGCTACCCTTCGAGAAGCTTCCCTGCAGCATGTCCGTAATGAAACCCTTCACCGGCACCTCCAAGTCTTCTTTCAGCCTCGCCTCATCGCAGAGCTCCCGTCAATGACCTTAATCGTAAGCTAAGCGCTCCCAGACCTTGTTCTTCAGCCGACGAGCGCAACCATCACGGTTTCACACTTTTATTTCTATTTCTAGATCTATGTTTCTTTTCTTTCTTTTCTTTTTCTGTTCTGTTCTTTTCGTTTCTTTCCTTTCTTTCCTTTCTTTCCTTTCTTTCTTTCTTTCTTTCTTTCTGTCTTTCTGTCTTTTGTCTTTATTTATCTCTTTCTTTTTTTCTTTCTTTCTTTTTCTTTCTTTCTTTTTCTTTTCTGTTCTTTTCTTTCTTTATTTCTTTCTTTCTTTCTTTCTTTCTTTTTCTTTCTTTCTTTCTTTCTTTTTCTTTTCTGTTCTTTTCTTTCTTTATTTCTTTCTTTCTTTCTTTCTTTCTTTCTTTCTTTCTTTCTTTCTTTCTTTCTTTCTTTCTTTCTGTCTTTTGTCTTTATTCCTCTCTTTCTTTTTTTCTTTCTTTCTTTCTTTCTTTCTTTCTTTCTTTCTTTCTTTCTCTTTTTCTCTCTTTCTCTCTTTCTTTCTTTTTTTCTGTCTTTCGTTCGTTCGTTCCTTTGTTCGTTCGTTCTTTCGTTCTTTCGTTCTTTCTTCCTGTCTGCCTGCCTTTCACCCCTTTGTCTTCCTTTCTGTGTTCTTTCTTTGTCTCTGTGTGCTTGAGTGTGTTGGTATGTACTACCTGTGGGTGTGGGTGTGCGCGCTTGTGCGTGCATGCTTGCGCAGGTGTGTGTGCGCGTGCGTGTGTGTGGCGCGCGTGTGTGTGTGTGTGTGTGCGTGTGTGTGTGTGTGTGTGCGCGTGCGCGCGTGTGTGTGCGTGAGTGTGTGTTTGTGTGTGTCTGCGTCTGTGTGTCTGTGTGTCTGTGTGTCTGTGTGTCTGTGTGTCTGTGTGTGTGTGTCTGTGTGTTTGTGTGTTTGTGTTTTTTTGTGTGGTTCTGTGTGTTTCTGTGTGTGTGTTTTGTGCTTGTGTGCGTGTGTGCTTGCGTGTCTGTGTGTGTTTGTGTTCTTTTTTGTGTTTTTGTTTCTTGTGTGTTTGTGAGTGTGTGAGTGTGTGACTGCGTGCGTGCGTGCTTAGGTGCCTGTGTGCGTGTGTTTGTGTGTGTGTTTTGTGTTTGTGTGCTTTTGTGCTTTTGCGTGTGTGTTTGTGTGTTTGTGTTTTTTGTGTTGGTGTTTTTGGTGTTTTGTTGTTTGTTTGTGGCTTTGTGTGCGTGGTTGTGTTTATGTTTGTGTTTGTGTGTATATGCGTGAGTCTTTGAGTGTGTGCGTGCGTGCGTGCGTGCCTGCGCGCGTGCCTGCGTGCATGCGGGTGTTTTCGTGTGTGCGTGTGTGTGTGTGTGAGATTGCGTGTGTGTGTGTGTGTGTGAGTGTGTGTGTGTGTGTGATTGCGTGTGTGTGTGTGTGTGGGGGGGTGGGGGTGGGGGTGGGTGTGCGTGTGCGTGTGCGTGTGCGTGTGCGTGTGCGTGTGCGTGTGCGTGTGCGTGTGCGTGTGCGTGCGCGTGCGCGTGCGCGTGCGCGTGCGCGTGTGCGTGTGCGTGTGCGTGTGCGTGTGCGTGTGCGTGTGCGTGTGCGTGTGCGGATGCGGGTGCGGGTGC